TCTCTCTCTCTCTCTCTCTCTCTCTCTCTCTCTCTCTCTCTCTCTCTCTCTTCCTGTCTCTCTCTCTCTCCATCACCCACCTTCCCTCCTTACCCCGATCCGCCCTTTCCGTACCCACCCTGACTCACCCCCCCTCTCGTTGCACCCCCCCCTTTCCTTCCCATATCTCCACAGGGTTATACATGGTTGAGAGAGAAGATACTCAGCGAGGAAGGCAGACGCCAGCAATCAAAGCTCAGGGACCTGGCAGTCATTGCCGATCAGCTGGGCTGTTCTTTGGCCCAGCTAGCCATCGGTGAGAGGAGTTTTGCAAGCAATTTAACGCCCTACTATAACTAAAGATATCCGTAAAGTAATAAATATGTTTTGTTCCATTTTTGTTTTGTTTTGTTTTTTATTATGCAAAAATGTCCGTGAAGAAACTGGGATATTACATTGTTTCGTCTTGATTTAGAAGAGAAATACGGGGGACGTTCTTTTAATCTAAGAACGAAAGACGGGAAACGGATAAAAAAAACGTGTTTAAAAAGGGCCAAAGAAAAGTAAAATATTAAGAAAACTAAATAGGAAAGAGAGGGAAAAAAACAATTTTTAAAAAAGGAAACGTTTAATTAATGTGTACATGAGTACTCACTTCAGAATAGACATGCCGAAATATACGTCTTTCTGTTATCTTAATTGTATATTAAGGGAGCCATCGTCCTGATTCGGATTATTGAAGAAGGCCAATATAAGGTCCCAACAGACAGCCTTTCGACACGGGAATCGAAGTCGCCTTATCTGAATGCGATAGCGAAGCGCCTAACCGTTACAATACAGACCCCTGTATCTCAACGCTGACACTTGAAAGACTAAAACAAAACAAAACATGTTTTCTCTAACAAAAACACATTATCCCGTAGTAAACAAACAACTATAGAAAAACAAAATAATTCTTTTGATTGTTCTTCGTCTACAGCATGGTGTGTGAAAAATGAGAACATCAGCCAGGTACTTCTTGGGGCTTCCACAGTGGACCAACTCTGTGAGGATATACAGGCCCTACAGGTAAATAGACGCATCTGGAAACCTTTGTCCGGTATACAGGTATACAGGCAAACCCGTGTAAAAGTGTGGGATATACAGGTTAATAGGAAAATCCGTATAAAGGCTAACCAGGACAAGAGTGGGGGGTATAAGTAAATAGATACACCTGGATAAAATTTCGAGTATGCAGGTAAATAGACAAACCTGGATACCATTGTTCGTTTTACAGGTATCTCCACAAGCATTCAAAATCACAATAGAAGAAATATGGGTAAATGAACAAACGGGAATAGAATTGTGGGATATTATAGACAAAATTAACTCAGGAAATGCATGTAAATAGACAACCATTCGCAAACATTCAGGAAATACAGATACATAGACAAACACTCACAGGCTAAGTGTTTACAAGTAGAGAGACAAATATGCACACGCATACGATGAACAAGGGTAAATAGACAAACATTTACAAACACACAAGATATACTGGTGAATATATAATTATTAGTATGTTTCTTCTTTTTTTCGATACCACATCAAGATGGCTTGGTTCTTTTAATTTTTCTGACTCCTTCATGTGTTTCCATGGTGTTTAGTGTTAGAGAAGAAACAAAAGCAACATGTTAAAGCAATTACTTCTCCAGTATTTCTTTCCTGAAAATATAGTTATAAGCTTCTTGCAACCCCTCACACAACCTCCCATCCACCCTCCCCTCCGCCCTTCAACCTCCCTTCCACCATACCCTCCATCCTACGTCCATCCTCCCCCTCCTTAATTCCCTCTCTCTTTTTACCTCCCCATCCCCTTGCTACCAAAAATTAAACCAAAACCAAAACACACCTAATACTTTGTCTCGCTCTGTTACCCCACGACGTCCTCTATCCCCCGCCACAGCGTTTGGCAAAACCCATGCTCATTATGTTTCAATTATTGAATTACAATTATTGTTCATATCAGTACCTTTCTGACAAAAAGAGGACCTTATTTCTGCTATATTGTTCATCATCACCATGTCTATACATACATTTCTAAAAAGAAATGAGTGGCAACAGTAACAGTGTCTTTACTACTTCGCTTGTGAGAGAAGTTTTTCAATTGAGATAAATAGTATGTAACCTTTGCACCTTCTTCTTGGCTTTTATTTATTGTTCTTTTCTTGTTATCTACTTCTATCTTAAAAAATGTATTTCTTCTTCTTCTTCTTCTTCTTCTTCTTCTTCTTCTTCTTCTTCTTCTTCTT